AAGCAATAAGCCCCGAAATGAATGCCAGTTGTGTTGTCAAACATTGTCTTAGAAATTAAGATGGCAAAATTCCAGGCTGGAAATCCTTGGGACTTGCATGAGTATTGGGAAGATTTCTGAGTTATACGTCCTTTTTCCCTTTTTTCTTCCTTGCCTGAGTTTCTCTTTCTCTCCCCTTAGCTTGTGCTATGTGCTCACACACAGATTTTTATGCCCAAATGTATTTTCCTCAGACCTCACAGACATATAGACACACAGACATACACACACCCTCTTTGCTTTTGCTTTCAGAGTGGTAGTAGAAGAAGCACTAGATTTGGGATCAGGAGACCTGGCCTCTCATTCAGCTCCATTCCCCATGAACTTGGGAGCACTAACTACCACCTTGCTCTGGGTCTGTTCCCCACCTGAAAAATGTGGCCTTCGATCAAATGATTCCAGATACCCTTTCTACCTTCACACAGTTCTTGGTTTCAGCTCCCACCCTCCTAGTTTCCTCTCTTAACACAGACCCTGCCCTGGCCTCCCCATGGCTCCAGCCCCAGCCCCACAGTGTAAACCCTCCCAAGAGCTCCCCAGTGCTCACGTCACTCAGGACAACTGCCCCACTGCATTTCCCAGCAGCACCCCCAAATTCTTGGACCTGTTGTAACAAAGAGCAGCATTTTTCAGCTATTCATTCATGCCTGATGCCTCAAATGGGATCCCTTAAAGGCAAAAATGCAGAAGGTTCTATAAATAGGCACCCAAATAAAACAAAATGCACACAATGCACCATGGCACATTACCAAATATATACCCCAGTTGTTAGTGATCTTACTTTGCTCAACTCACTGCTTTCATTGCAGTTCCTGGTCTGTCCTTGAGAGGCAGGGTGGGTCAGTGGGTAGGGACCCACTTGGAGTCTGACAGGCAGACTGTCCTCCAGGGGAGGTTGATTTGTCACTTAGCTGTGGGAACCTTGGGCCAGGTACTTGATCTCTCAATAAGAGTAAAATAGTGGTGGTCCTTAGAGTAAAATAGTGGTTCCTTAGAGTAAAATAGTGGTGGTCTCTTGCAGCTCCTATTTCCTTCCATGCGCTGTGAAGTTTCAGTAAGATCACATGTGTAAAGCATGTGCATGCTGCTGGCCCATCGCAGGCTCATTGATTGTTGGAAATTATTGTTTTCTGCACCAAAAAGCAGCATGGAACAGTACAGAGTTGTTTAAAAAAAGGAGAGAAAGCTTTCCATGTACAGCTAAAGGATGCAGTGCTCAATGACAATGCAAGGTGAACAACAGCCTGTGTTGGTTGTATCTTTTGTTAAAAAAAAGAGGGAAAATAAGAACCTAACTTATATAAATGTAAATACAAATACATGGCATACACATACACATAGATGCTATAAAGGTACTCAGGAAACTAATAGTCATGGTGTTCTGTGGGAGGAAGGAAACTGAGTGAGTGGGGGGCCATGGTGGCTTCACTGTATAGTTCTTAATCTGTTCTAGAATTTGCCCCATGAAAATATACAATCTATTCAATAAGTTGAATTTTAAAATGTCAGAAGTAAAATAAAAGACACACCCGTTTATTTGATGAAGGTTGTGAGGTCTGGAACTGGCAGAGAAGGAATCCTGATCAGGGTTTTATTTTTCACTCCGGGAGAAAGCCCGCCAAATGGAGGAAATGCCTCTTCCAGCCACCTTGGGAAGTTACCCAGTAAAGACTTAAAAATCTATGGGGAGCCCACTCTCTGGTCAGAGGTTCCTCGGTGGAGCAAGTAAACTAGCTTATGAGTCCTCATTTTCATCACCATCACCACGGGCAGCATCAAACGGAACACTGGTATGGTGCTTTTAGACTTGCGCAGTGGTTTCACACATAGTATATCACAGAGTTTTCCAGCTGTAGGCGAAAATGAGCATTCCCGTTTTCACTATTCTCGCCTTATATGGTCGTACAGATGCTGTCATTGCCCCTCCCTCATACCCTAGGCACCCACCAACCTGCTGGTTTCCTACTACAAACAGTAGGCTCCCTCCCTGAGGCCTTTCTTTGGCCACAGGCTAGCTCAGCTGGCTCCACAAGCTAGAGTGTGGGGCAGCTGTGCCCGGGGGAGCATCCCTCGACCTGTGTCGGATGGGAGCTGAGGCTAAAGCCCCCAGGCTCCTGCCCCCTTGGGTAGTGCCACAGTCTCCCCGAGGTCCCAGCTGGCACGAACCCTCAGATGCTCTCCGTGGTGACCTGTGCTTAGAGCATCCTGGGGGTGCACCCTTCCTTTCCTGTCCTTACATCTCCCGGCCCCTCTGGGTGTTTCCTGCTATCCGCAAGCAGATGAATCATGTTGCACTCACATCTTTGTCCCAAGGTCATTCTCTGAGGGAACCCAGCCCGAGTCAAGGCACATCCCTAGTGAGTGAAGGAGCAGGGACCTGACGGAGGGGCCGGGAAATTGGGGCTCTCTCCGCCCCTCTGCTCTGCCTCCCTCAGGAGCTCGCAGGAAAGACAGGAGAAAAGCCAAGACCAAGAGGGCAAACTTCCTCTTCGAACCTCAGGCTGAGGAAACCTCCCCGATCAGCACAATGAGCTCTGGCCTCCCGGCATTCAAAGCAGAGAGAAACAGGCCGCCTAGGAATGAGCACACATATTTACAGGTGTCTTTCAGAACAACATTTAAAAAATTGTTGTTAATTCTTTTCTTTACCTATTCATTTCATGTTAAAAGAATAACCTGTACAGTATTTACCAGGGCTTTTTCACAAATGTTTCTGCTTTGATTTTTTTAATGCCTTACTTTCCTGTCCAATAATTAAATTGTCTCTTAAGATTGTCTATCATTTTCTTGTGAGAGCTGATCATCTCTCAAAGGAAGCTGTTTCAAGAATGGCAAGAGGGCTGCATGGGAGGCATTGAGGGGAGCTAATAATTGGGTTAAGGCCTTGCAGGAGTAGTGGGGACCCAGCAGAAGGGAGAGGGTTTCCCAGGCCAACCTGTGGTGTGCACGGAGCCTGGGGACCTGCTCTGGAGAGCAGGCTGCGGCCCACCTGGCTGGAGTAGAATGAATGCGTGTGAGCACTGCATTCTTTCTCCAGAGACAGTAAGGAGGCAAAAAAGAAAGAGAAGTGAACAGGGAACTTGCCTGGTTTCCTCTAGACCAAGACTAAGGGTGAGGCTGCCCTGGCATCCGCACTGAGGAGGGCTTTGTGGGACACCCTTGAGGCACAGGAACTGTCCATGGCAGTGGCTGTTGACCGCCTAGGAAGACATAGCCTAGTGAGGTAGGGAAGCCAGGTGGTGCTTTCCCAGGTAAGGGGCCATCCAGGGAGCAAGAAGCACGGCTGACTTGTGTGCTCAAACATTTACATGTTAGAGACAAAGATCAAAAAGCTTTGCATCTACTGTTCTAGTAAGGCTCTGTCACTTGTGTCATAATTAGCAGGGGTTTGTCTCCAGGGGAACAGGTTCCTGAAGGTCAGGGACCATGTTGTATGCATGTTAGCTCAATCAACGTATGGAAACCTTCTAAGGGTCAGCATCTTAGCTGAGAGTTAGTCTGGCTCAGGGAAAGGGAAAAGATCATTTTCCACTTCAGTCATTACAGATGAGCTGGATGGATGGGTGACCCACAGTGGCGAGTCTCAGAGTGAGCACTCAGCTTTGTGTCTCTTCCTGACACCTCCCCACAAGCTTCCAGTGGGTTCAGAGCAGCTGTCACTGCAGCAGATTCATCCTGTCACTCAGATGCTACAGCTGCCAATGGGTTTAGTCTGAGGGGTGCCCTCTCAGGATTGGTTTTTCCAAGCACTGTTACCTGCTCTTGACACCAAGGGAGGCTGCCTTGGCGCCTTTCCCTATGATGTGGACCCGTGATACCCTAGGAGGGGCCAGGGTTAGAACTCTGACAAAGAGGGAGTGAAAAGAGTGGGGCATAACTAACTTACGGGTGGAAATTGTGCTTCTGGAGCAATGAGAACAAGAACACAGTGAGTGAGGCTTTGCCTCCCCTCCTTCCCCTCCACCTCCTGCCTCCATCCTTCTTGCTCACCTTATCCTGCCTCTGACAAGTCTGGTTTTCTTCCTGGCACGTCTCAGAGGCAGGGTAGCATTCCAAGATCACGGCGCTCACTCTAGCTGGCTGAGCCATTGTGAGCCAGTTGCTTGACCTCCTTGTGCCTCAGTTTCCTCATCAGCACACTGTGGATGATGATAATGATAGCATGTACCTCACAAGGCCATTTGAGGGTTACATAAATTAATAGCTGTGAAAGGCTTAGAAAACTGCCTGGCACATGGCAAAGGCCATTATGAGGGTTAGTGAATGTGGTTCCCTGGTATTGTTAGCTCAGGCAGAAGACAATAGTAAGATAAAATACATTTTCTGATGATAAAATACTGCCCTTGAAAGGATTCCGAAATTCCTGGGGCCTCCAGAGAGAATGAAGATTCATCAGGAAAACAAGATGGCCTTGTGTCGGGACATGGCCTCGGAGCTAGTGACTTCATGTTCTAACTTAGAGTCTTGGCCTTGCTGCATGATCTCCCTGGGCATTAAATCTTTTATCAGCTAGAAAAGGAGAAAGAGGAGAAAGAAAAAGTAAAAGACAGTAATAGTTCTATTTCACAGAACAAGGTTCCTAAAAAGACTGGAGGTCTGGACAATGTTAGGAGATGTTTTCGGTTGACCCCGGATGATGGTGGCTTGTCTATCATGGTTACGGCTCCTGAGTGCCCGGGTGCTGTTGCTGGTTGATGGAGCGATAAGCCCTCTCAGGTTGTTTCCAATGAACACAAATTAATGTAAGTTGATCAACATCGGCCTTATTACTTCTCTGACCAAAAAGGAGAGGAGACGACTTCCCTGTGGTTTGGACTTTGAAGATCTACATTTTCCTCACATTTCTTAGGAACATTACTTTTAAAACCTAAACTGGGACACAGGATCAATCAAAGGGTTATTTCTTATTTGTGAAGACATTTGAAAAGGAATAAAAATCAAGTTACATTTGGATATGCATAATCATTTTATTTATTTTCAAGACTATTTTCAAGACTACATTTTGCAGAACAGTTTTAGGTTTATGGCAAATTTGAAAGGGAAGTACAGTTTTCCCATAGACTCTCTGCCCTCATACATGCATAGCCTCCCCTATTATCAACATCCCCCCCTGAGTGGCACATTTGTTATAACTGATGAACCCACATTGAATCATCCAAAGTTCATAGTTTACCTTAGGGTTCACTCTTGGTGGTGTACATTCTGTGGGTTTGGACAGATACTCAGTGACATGTATCTATCATTATAGCATCATACAGAGTATTTTCACTGCCCTAATAATCCTCTGTGCTCTACCTATTCATCCCTCGTCTTCTACCCCTGATCTTTTTATCATCTCCACAGTTTTGCCTTTTCCAGAATGTCCTATACCTGGAACCATGCAGTATGTAGCCTTTGTAGATTGGTTTCTTCACTTAGTAATATGCATTTAAGTTTCCTCCTTGTCTTTCTATGGCTTTATAGCTCATTTTTTACTAGTGTTAAATAATATTCTATTGTCTGGATGTACCACAGTTTATTCACCTACTGAAGGACATCTTGGTTGCTTCCAAGTTTGGGCAATTATTAATAAAGCTACTATAAATACTCAGGTGTAGGTTTTTGTGTAGACATATGTTTTCAACTCCTTTGGGAAAATGCCAAGGAACGAAACTGCTGGATTGTATGATAACAGTGTGTTTAGTTTTGTAAGAAACTCCCAAATTATATGCCCCACTTTTCATTCCCACCAGCAGTGAATTAGAGTTCCTGTTGCTCCACATCCTTGTCAGCATTTGGTGTTGTCCGTGTTCTGGATTTTGGCCATTCTAATAGGTGTTTAGTGGTATCTTGTTGTTTTAACTCCCATTTTCTTGTTCATACATGATGTGGAGCATCTTTCATATGTTTGATTGCCATCTGTATATCTTCTTTGGTGAGGTGTTTGTTAAGGTCTTTGGTCCATTTTCTAGTTGGGTTGTTAGTTTTCTTATTGTTGTATCTTAAGAGTTCTTTGTACATTTTGGATAGCAATCCTTTTGGATGTTTCCTTTGTAAAGATTTTCTCCCAGTCTGGGGCTTGTTTCTCATTCTCTTGACAAAGTCTTCATAGAGCAGTTTTGAAGATCACGAAGGTCAATTTATCAATCATTTCTTTCATAGATTGTCCCTTTAGTGTCGTATCAAAGAAGTCACCACTATATATTTGGTTATGTATTTTAGAAGGTATTGGATTTAAAAAACAACAAATATGAAATTGGGGCTTCTCTGGACAATCTGAGATGAAGTGCAGGGGACAGTTGTTAATTACACTCACGTAAGTCTGTATCACTTCCCAGGAAGCCCTGATTTCCATTTGTGGGCCCCATGGTCCCAAGCTAAAGCCACTCTGCTTTAAGCAGGGAACATGTGATCTAGCCGAAGTCAATCAGTGGGCCCAGGACCCAACAAAAGTGATTGGTTGGGTGAATCAGTAAAGCCAGTGCGGGCAGGGGGAAGTCTAGGACTCTTATGTAGGAACTGGGGACAAAGGCATTCTTTCTCTTCCTGAGAGACAGCGTGGTTTATGGATGTGAGAAATGGAGTTGCTGCAGCCATTTTTGCTACCTGGAAGTTGGCCATCCTGAAAACAATCCACACACAGGAAAGAGCAGTGTTGAGAAGATGTTTTAAAAAAAAAGATTTAGGCCCTCTGGAATGAATCATCCTGAAAGCTATTCTCAATCTGGACTTGTAGGTTACGTGACCCAATAAATTTACTCTACAGTTGGAGTCTAGTCAGGAAAGGAGAAACCATGTCAGATATCTCAAAACATAGGGATGTAATAAAAGAACCTGTTCAAAATGACGATGCTGAGGTAATCTAGAGAGTCACTGTTCCTGAGGATGACCGCAAAAAGGGGAGTGGGTATTTATCAGAGCTTGGGATCTTGGGGTGAGAGGTATCTGCTGAGACTGGTGCTGTCTCCTGGGGAAAACTTGTGTTCAGACCCTCGAAGGCTTAGACTGTGGAGTGGGGAGTGGGGGGCAAGATTTGATGGGTGCTCACACCGCCAAGGAGGTTGCTCTGATGGCCCAGAGCACATGGCCCGGTGGATGAGGGGGCATGTGCAGCGGGTCCCTGCCTCCCAGCAGGCCATGGCTGATGGTGGGCTCCAGCTGCTTTACAGGGGTATGCTGAAGGAGCTCTGGACTGCCAGCAGGAGCTGGGAAATGCGGCCCACTGTCCACTGCTGCCGGAGAGGCACTACCTCCCAGTCTCCTTCTAGTGCCTCCTATTGGTAGAACCTCACAGGAAGCCAGCAGGCAGGAGGGTCTGTGAAATGTGGCTTGCCAAGTAGCCATTACAGCATCACAAAGCCCAAGGGTGAGCTGAGAGATGACAAGTAAAGATTGGGCCTCTTTGAATTTGGCTTTGTTACATCCTACTGATAGGCCTTATTTTCCTAACTACCATAATGAAAGCCTTACCCCACTTTTCCTTGGGCTTTATTCTGGAAACCATTTGGGTAATCTTATAATCTACTGCTTACTTTTAAATCCTCTATTGATGGTTGGAGTGTTGATCTTGCATTCTTTCTGATGTGAAGACTAAGCCTGGGAGGCCAGATACCATGCTCATTCCAAGCTGATCATTTCCCTTTTGGAAAACCTCTTAATGGATGGATCCATTGCAAGAAGAAAATCTGAGGCTACTTTTTGGGGTGAGGATTGGACTAGGATGTTTTTCACAACCAGAAATAGAAACCCTGCCTTAACTGGTTTAAATAATGAGAAAATGAATTACCGCACATAACTGGAACTCCAACAGTAGAGGCAGCTTTGAGGAAGGTGAATTCATCTGCTCAGCTATGCCTTCAAGGACACAGATTCTTCCCATCTTGGCCTTCAGGTTATTTCATTGGATAACACCCCAACATGTTTATAATGGTTGCCTCAGTTCCAACTATGTTGTCCGGACAAGTAATCTAGTAGAAGAAGAGCACAGTCTTTTTCATGTGTCTCTTTTTCAGTTCACGGGTACCTCTGTCCCCTACTGGAGTTTCCATCACTGCCTAGAACCAGGTCACATGCCTACACCTAAATCCATTCCCAACAAGCAGACTGGGGACGCCATGGTCGGCTCAGAATTCACCCTGAGCTGGGGATATGGTGTCTATGGGTCTCTGTATCAATCAGGGTTCAATCGGAATTGCAGAACCACTAAAAAGCAGTTCTCCGTTTAAATCAACACTCAGATTTGTTGCAAGGCTTTGACCTTCTGCAAATGTGACAGCTGGTTAAACCCTCTCTACAGGCCTCTTGCCTTTGCATCTGATGCTGCAGCTTCAAAGACCACAGGAGAGGAAGTGGGAAAGGGAAGATGGGTGTAAAGTGGGAGAGAGCAAGCTGGACCCCCCATAAGGATGGAGTGGAACCAGGTCATTTCTCATGGCCTCTGACCTTGATGTCCTGTAGGAGAAGCTGGTGCTCTTTGTCACTGAGATCTGTGGCGTTGGAGACCAAAGGGGGATCCAGAAAAGGTGAATCAGTTGCAGGTCTGGCCACGAATCCTCAACCATGAGATGAGCTTGGTGACCCATTCTTCCGAGACTGCATCTGCCTTCCATATCTTAGGCAAAGGTCACCCTCATGGCCCAGCTGGGAACATGCAGGAAAGGGGGTTCTAGGAAACAAACTCCAGGCTAGCCCAGCTGACATGCCATAAAGCCACCACAGTAACCATTTCTGGGGAAGCAATCATGAACAGCATTGAGGTGCTGTAAGCAAGTAAGAAGAGGGACACAGCTCTGGGGGAGGCAACCAAAAGTGTTCATGCTTTCTCAGCAGCCTCGTGCTGGTATCCCATGTCAGAAGCTGTGTGTGTGTAAGGTACACATGGAAGTGAAAAAGCACAGCGCTGCCTGTTCAAAGGCTGCCACTCTCACTCTCTCTCTCTCTCTCCAGGCTTTGTAGGGCCCCGGCCCTGGCAGAAAACCCTAATGAAAAATAAACTCATGGCTTCAGCAGTTAGTGGAGCGCCTGCCCTACCTCTGAGTCACCACCACACTGTTTGTTCACTTCCCCTGCTTCGAACTCCCTCTTTCCACTTCCTGTTCTCATTCAGCAAGCACACACTGAGCACCTACTGTGTGCTGGATGCAGGGAATACAAGATGAAAAAGCAGTGAACTCATGTTCCCACTCTAGAGGGCAACCTCCTTCCTTTGCCCTAAATGCCCTCTCACCCCCACCCCATCCTTTCCAGAAACCCTCCCAGATGTCATCCCAAGCTCTCTGGCAGAACCCCACATCCCCTTCACGGGTTTCCATCCGGCTGTAAGTGATTATCTACAAGTATGTGTGTATATTGCCATGTCACTTTTGTTTTTAATGAATGCTTTATTTTTGTTGGTCCTCTCTTCCCCCCAGAGTGCAGAGGAACTTCGAAGATCAGGTTTCTGTTTCCTTTGCTGCTCATAACTACGTGCAATGCGAGGGGTGGCTGTGCTCAAAAGGGAGAAATCCAACCAGGATTTCCAAAGACAGCAAGTAACATTTCCATGTGCCTTGGAAGATGCAAAAAGCATTTCCATCACACCCACTCTGTGTGGTCCTTGACACCCCTATTGCAATTGCTCCTATTTGTATCAGTCCTGTTATTGCCTCATTCTGTGGTGAGCAAATGAAGGTTTAGGGGGGTTGTACGACTTATCTAAGGGCTCCTCTGGAAAGCTGCAGAAGCAGAGCTCTAGCTCACAGTCCTGCCTCTAGGGCCCAACTCAGATTCATGGTTCCACTGAACTCAGGGGGTGGAGGTTGAGTGGAATGCATTGCTACCCATTCACTGGCAGCTTATTCTGTGGTGGGCACTTGGCTAAGGCTTTCTATACCTTTCTGGTAGGTGTTACTACTATCTCTACTTTTAGTGGGGAAACTGAGATTTAAGGAATTTAACTTGTAAGGGGCAGAGCTAGAGCTCAAATCTAGGTCTTTTTAATACCAAAATGCATGTTTTTAACTGCTCTGCATCCTACCATAACTGTGATCTAAAACGATGTGAGTGAACTTCTAGAATTAACTTTTTCACCCCTAAGTAACTGGGCCCTGGAGTTAGACCACCAGAATTTAAACTTGAGCTCTGTGGCCTTGAGCAAGATATTCTATCTCTCTGAGCCTATTTCTTCTTCTGTGCAATGAAAGATAAAGCAAACAAAGAAATAGTACTAAACTTGAATTCTTGTTTGAGGATTAAATGAAAGAAACAAATATATACATGCATGCTTTCTACAATGCCTGGCATGAGGCAAGTGAACAATAAATGTTAATTTTAATTCTTACAAGAGCAATAATTACTATTATTGACTTCATCCAATCAGACTGGCCAACAGCTTCCCTACCAAAGGCATCTTTGTCAGGACACTGTTAGCACTGAAAGGCCTGAATTCTGGGGAGCCTTGGATTCCCCAGCAGCTAGTGCCAGAGCCATCCCTACAGCTGCTCAGGAAAGCCTGTGCGTGCAGCCAGGCTATGAAACCCAGGCCTTATTGATGTCCTGCCTTGGCTGGCCCCAGTCAGCTGCTCCACACATGTCCCATAAATGGGAGTCATTAGCGGTGAGCCCCATAAACACTCCCTCCTAACCATGCTGGGCTGCGCGTGCTGGCTGTGTGGCAACCACTCTATCAAGCCCATCAGCCCAGATATTAAACAGCTATCAGTGTGCATACAAACCAGCATGCCCTAAACAGAGCTTCCAGGGGTGAAAAGGGGATGGCTTCTCTTGGCTGCTTGAACAAAGTTTGCTTTCACTCATCAACCTGTACAGGATCAGTCAGTTCGGATGAATAATCACAGGGTTCTGGCTCAGATGTCTTCACCAGGACATTTCAAAGTGATGACCTCCTTTGCATTTAATACAACTTCACTAGCTTCCCTATATGCAAGCTAATCGAGGGAGCAGATGGGCTGCAAAGGGGTGACAGCCTTGTGTATGCAAAGCAGAAACAGTTCCATTGCAAGGACATACAAACGCATTGTACATTCAAGTGGTTGACCAGGAAAGCTTGAGATGTTGGGAAGTGAGTCAAACACAATCTCACTCTTTTCAGTGTTCTAGTGCAGCCCGGGATATGCAAAGAGCCACAACATGCACAAAGCTTATGCTAAATGGGGCTGGAGGAAGGGACAGAGCAAGCATGAGGAAACTGGGAGTCTCAGTGAGAGAAGTGCAAGGTGGGTGGATCAGAGAACTGAAGGTTAGTAACCCTGATGCCACCATGCTGACCAGATTTTTCCTATGAAGGCAGAATTAGATGCATTTATAAAGTGACTCCTTAGGTGCAGTTACGGTAGCAGGAGTTCTGAAGAGCAGGTAAATTCATCTCTCCAACCCTCTGTTTCTCCATTTGCAAAATGGAGATAAATGTAGAAGGTCACGTAAGGGGAAGCAGGGTATGAGTGGGTAGTGGCTGTACATAGAGCTGGAGCAAAAAAAGACAGTTACTGTCCCAGCCTCCCCTTAGTGCCCAGAGGCTGTTTCAGGGGAAAAAGCCCCAAGTGTGCAGTGTGGTGAGCGCCCTGGGGGGAAACCACAGCTGAGCAAGAAACTGGTCCAGAGCTTGGGGCCAAGTCCCAGTTACTCCCCCGGTCTTCTGCCAAAGGGAGTGGGAAGGAGAGGGGGAATCTGGAGGTCAGAGGGGCAAGAAGAGGAAGAGGAAGGAGAGGGGGCGAGGAGAAGGTGGAACAAAGATGAGAAGACTGGCCAGATGGGGAGAGGGAGAGGGAGGCAGCAGCCAGGTGACAGGGGGGCCCTGCGGGCCTGCAGCATCTTCGCAGCAGCAGCCATGGGGGCCCTTGAGTGCAGGCCAGCCCCTGACGGAGGGACAGGAGGTGCTGCTGTTCTCCCAGGCTCACAGGAGGCATAAGACTTTTCTTCTGTCACTTATGTGGCCAGTGCTGGGTAACCAGCCCCGTGGGAACATCCCAGAACCCCAGGCAGACACCACTAATTAAGGCTGGGTCTCTGTCCCCAAGAGCTGGTTATTGGATTAGGAAGGAATAGGGGCATGGCAGCTATCGGGACAGCGTATACCCCAGGATTTCAGGGGCTGGAGAAGGCCCTCCATTCCCACCCTTTCTGCCCATTCTCCACATCTTCAATCCACCAGGGGAACAAAATGGTATTTTTCTATCTCAGGCCTTTGTCAAAATATACCTTCCTGCCTCTTCTCAATCTCTTCTTGGGAGTTCTTTTTGGTGGGTGAGTGAGGGGAATGAAGTGCAGAGCATCCCGGAGGGAAGCAGGTGCTACGGAGAGATAAATGAGGATCGGGGGGTGGGGGGGGGTGGGGGGCAGAGGGGGCACCATCACTGTTTTACCAACTTTGGGGCCAAGAGGGCTAATGACAAGAGAGGACAGACATCCAGTCACAGATGGACTCAGATACTGGGGACAGGCCGGTCTCAGTATCAGGGATCAGATCAGTAACCGGCTGAGGCACAGGGTGCTGCCCTGAGCGCCGCCATAGAGGCCCCCCGCCCCCCATGCCAGGGCGCCCCCTGGCTGACCCCGGGAGCCGCAGCCCTGAGCCTCAGGAGCCCAGTCTTCCTGCCTCTTCCTCCCCCTGCCCATATTCAGAAAGCTTCCTAGTCCGACAGTGACCCAAAGCAGAACGATGTCTCTCTCTGCAGAAGGAACTCCTTACACGGTCCGCATCCCTTTAACAACTATCTGCCTTTCTCAGTCCAGATGGACACCCTCCAGCTTGCCCTGAGAACCTTCTTTACAAATTATCCACAACAGGTATCACAGTTTCTTGTTTTCCCCTCTCCCACTCCCCTTATATTTCAGGCCCCTGAAATGTATCTAAAAGGATCTGTGGCTCTTCCTGCGCCTTTCTTATTCTGCTCTCTCTGCCTGCCCTGCTGCCCTCATGCTGTGTTAAATGTTAATACCTTCAGAGACAAATTTAAGAGGTCGTGGAGAAGTGCTAGGCTATCATCTCCTGAAACTGCACGTGGAATTTCCACCCCCGCAGAACCTCCAACCTGCAAACCCCTGACATTTCTGAACTTTGCTTCATCCCCTCAGTACACCACTCCATCGTCTGTCTGTATGTTTTGTTTATTATGCCTTTAAATTACATATCCCCCTAAGAGAGGAAAAAAAAGTTCAACAGGGAGAACAAAGAAAGTTGAGGCCTTTTAAAGTACTTTTATGGAGGCTTTTCATGAACTTTACAAACAGAGTAAAAAAACAAGTGTGAAAGGATTTTTCAAGGAAGGAACATGCTTTTGCAATTTGCTGGAAGTTTTCCCTTGTGTTCCAGAAAAGCAGCCTCCCCATTACTCACCAGGGAAGCACGCAGGCCAGGGAGGAAGGGGGCTCAGCGAATAAAAACAGACCTTCCCCCTGTCCATGTGCAAATAGCACTTAATAATCAAATTGAAAAACACACAAATGAAATTAAAACGTTTTCCAAATGGGCTGCAGTCCTGAGGCCAGACTTCATGGGGCCGTGGCCTGCAAATTTGTATCTTTGCCTTAATTGGGCTCCAGGCAAAGTGGCTGTGGGGGAAGCCAGATTCTGGTGTCAACGGGAGGGTAGGACCCAGCCACTGGAGGCAGGGAGGCCAGCTGCCTTGCTATCTAGCCTCTCCTGTTATCTCTTCTCCAGGGTATCACCCATGACCTGGCTCTCAGTCTATAAACCTGCTCAGACCTCCTCCATAGGGGAGGACCTTCGCTTGACCCATATCTGCACTGAGTTACGCACTACTTCACTCACTTAGCAGACAGACTCACTATCTTTTCTCCAATCTTAAAGCAAAAACAGAAAAGCCCTTAAAAGCCAAAAACTTCTCCTGACCTCACTTCGCCTTTGGCTTGACCCCATCTCTCTGCTCCCGTTTCAGTTGTGCAGCTGATGGTATTCAATTACTCCCTTCCTGATTTTTCCTGCACCCCAGCTGGTCGGGATTTTGCCCACCGCACCTACCAAAGCTGCCCTACTATGACCAAAGTCAGCCTTGGGAGGATAAACTCAAGTCTCAGGCATAATCTCTGACCTCCAGCAAGAGGACAAGCACATCCTCCTGGAGACCCTGGCCTCACTGGGCTTCACCCTACTGCTTTCTTTGGGTGCTCCTCCTTGGCGCTGGCCAGTCCTTCAGAATAGCCTTGGCTGGCCCCTCGTTTTCTCCTGACCTCTTGCCTT